GGGGAATTCTGGGAGTTGAAGTCCACACATCTTAAAGTGGCCAAGGTTGAGGAACACTGGTTAGGGCTATATAAAGAGATGCTGTTGTGACTGTCTGTGGTGAACAACACTCAGATTTCCTACCACTGATTCTGTCCGTGCGCTGTTGCTGGACCCTTGCCCTGCAGGGGTGGGCACAGGCAGGGGGCCCACCCAGGCAAGATGGCCTCCACAACCATGCCATTGAAACCCTGCCCTTTTTCCACACGTCTTTTTGATCTCACGGTTGTGACTGCCACCTTGACCATTTTGACCCCGCTGCTGGTTTGGGATCAGCCTATCCCTGGCGCTTCCTGAATTTGAGCTGTGTCTCTCCAGAGCCTTTTTCCAAAACCAGCCCTCTGTTTTCTCCGCAGAAAGCTCTGAGTTTGCGGCTCGTTTTGTGTGAGTTTGACAAAGGGTTTACAACGGTAATACATCCGTCTGAGTTGGTTATCAGAAGCTGGCGGGGTGTGTGTAACTGGCAGTTCCCAATGGCAGCGCTCAGATCTTTCAATCATGTTGTGAGGCTCCATTAATTGATGCTCTTAAGGCAATTTGGAATCAGCAGATGAAAAATGCCAAATGATTGCTATCAGATAGTGAATCATGCCACTTTGCTGAAGCCAGCAGCTCAGGGTAATTTATGTTCTGCTAACACTGATAATTTGACATATGATAATGCATATCATTCAAATTACAGCTTAATTTAGCACAAATGAATATCAGAGTGTTAGTATATTTCTCCATCAGCCCCAATTAAGGGACATTACTGAGAAAGTCAATGATGTCGCACGGGAAGGAGAACAAGGCTTAAGTGTTCTCCGGGGATTCATGACACGCGTTCCTCTTGGGCCTGATTGTGAGTCTGAGGCCATGAGAGCTGTCCACAGTTGAGGAGATCAAGTGATCAAAGGTAAGTGCTCGTGGGCACTTCTCAGAAGGTCTCAGTCTTGGTGGGTTCCCTTTCCATTGGAAAGAATATTGCAATGACTGTAGATGAGCCCATTTCGCGAGGGGGGAAATCACAGCAGAAAATTCTTAATGGACTTTTTACATCCATAGTTTTAAAAAGAAAGACCCAATGGGGTCAGTGACATGTTCTCCTGAAGGTTTTGGAGGTATTCATACAGCCCAAAGTCTGAATCAACTGTGCTCACTTGGTTAGTTTATGATTGAATGTACTGGACAAAACCAAAACACAAGTGATTTCTGTAGCCAGGTGAACCATAAATGAAGCAAGGACAAGTTGTCCAGAAGTTCATCCAGAAGTCAACCCCCAAATAAGTCCCAGGTGAGGTTATGGACAAGAGCAAAGGTCAGACCTTGAGTTGGGAAACATCCGTGTACCGGGGGTCAGTTCAGGTAGGTAGGCTCACATGTAAGCAACATTACTTCCAACTCATGAGCTTCTCTCAAACAGAGAGCTTTATACTACAAGTGGTAATTACCTTACTTTAATTCAGCTTCTACTCATTAAGCCTGATCTGGCTGCAAGGCCATCTAGGTGGACTGCGTAATATGTGTAGATCAGCTGTTGCTTATCAAACTTGCTCTGGTTGCAAGATAATCCTGGCATTCTGGGATGCTCTTGAGTAGACCTTCATGCCCAAGGCAATTTTCCCTGCAGCTAAGTACTTCAATGTCCCTTCTGATGTTGGACTGAGCATCAATGCTGTTCATGTGCTGCTATCCTGGTGAACCTAGAGCAGCTTTCCACACCTGGGATCTCAGCATGGTGATCAAAGGAGGAAGGGGGCAAACGATGACATGGTCCTGGAGAAGTTGGGTCTAGCCAGCCATCTGGAAACCTGCTTCTCTATAACGGCTTTGTGCTACCTGGACATTTGTCTTCGTCTAGGATCTCCTTTCTAATCCTACCAGGCACTGTGTAGCTTCCAGGAATACATGAAGATGCTGTGCTGGTTCTGTGTTGCTCTTTGTGTCAAGTTTGTGGCAAAACTGGTCCTAAGCTCTTACATCATCCCAATAAACAGTTGGATCAGTGTAAGCCAAAGCTGAAGTTACACAGGCGTGGTAAGATTAGATTTGACTCAGGATCTAGAGGCACCTGTAAAACTGCCCTGCCTTGCATCAAGAGCATTGATCCAGATCCTACTCCATCCTTCCTGAATATATTTTCCAGATAGGCTGCACTACAACACCCATCATTCAGATCCAGCATCAGAGATGGCCTCAAGCTGGGTGGGGACAATGAGAGAAGTTCCACACATCTTTAAAAGCACCAGATTGGAGAAGGCAAGTTTATCCTGCAGGCAACCGGTATCCAGGTTCTCAACGCAAGAGAAGAGTGACTGTGGAACTGAAACAAGGACTTCTGAAATTCAGTGGAGATGGCTGTTCCACTAAGCTATGGCCTCCTCCCCAGGAAGGGCTGGAAGGCAGCTCATCCTAGTACTGCTAATGTCTCTTTGCTTTCTCCCATACATTATTGATGAGTAATTGCTCTTATTTCTTGACTTTTCTTTCCGTCCCTTCAGATACCTACTGGGAAGAATGGACTGGCAACTTTGGGGACTCGCTCTTTATCTCCATGTGGCGTTCTCGGCTTCTTGGGACTGTGTCTCTCAGTGTTCCATGTGTGTTCTTCATGGCCAGGATGCAGAGAATCCCATCAACCCCTTAGTAAGTTACAGCATAGGTCACAGGCTGACCATAAGGTCTCCCTGAATGTATTGAACCTTGTAGATGAAGAATGCTGCTAAACAGAGTTGGCAGTGTGGAGTACCAAACCACCTCCACTGTATTTCTAAATGTAAGGATAGGTTTGTTGGATCAGGTCAAGGCCCATCTTAGTCCATCATTATATTTCTGACCATGGCTTACCAGATGTTTCTGGGAAGCCCACAAATGGCTCTCCCACACAACTGGGATTTGGAGACACATGGCCCCCAACCTGAAGATAACACTGAGTCTTCAGGACTGACAGAAGACAGCCCTCGGTAAGATCTGTCTTCCATGAATTTATCCAATCCCCTTTTAGAAACTTAAATAATCCTCATGGCTTCTAATCACCCCTAATTTAGCCTTCTGTGAGCTGTGCTGTCCAGCTATGTTGGAAACATAATTTCCAGTTGCTTCTCCAACACATGTAGAGAAAGCCATCTGGAGGCCCCCAAGTTGGGGAAGGCTGATCTAATGGCTAGATTCAGCTATTCATATTCCTATTTTTTTCCTTATTGCACCCTATACTTTTTCTGTCAGAGTTTGGGTTCTTTTTGTCCTCTGCATGTCAAGAGGAAAAGCTTCTGAGCTAATGCAGTTTCCTGGAGACTACTAGAAACCCCAGTTGACTGATTCCTAGCCTTGGATGACCCTTGTGGAATACATTCCAGATCAGCCTCATTTGTTGTGGTTTCAAATAACCTCCAAACACTATGAAGAGAATTAGCTCTCTTGACTTTTCCTTCCAGTCTCTTTCATTAGCCCTCTCATTTTTTAGAAGTTTCCCCTGAGGATCAGGAAAAATCAGAGAGAAAGAAACAAATGTTAATTCTCAGCTCTTTAAGAAGCCAGCTGGGAGTCTTCTGTGCATATCAGAAGCGTCATTCTTGGATGAAAAGGATCCAGTTCTGTAAATCTGTTTGAATGAAAACTTGGGTGGCTGTGATCTCTCCCAACGTAGTCTGTAATTCTCCTTGGAAGTCAGGTCACATTAGAGCAGGGTTTCTCAACCTCAGCAACTTTAAGATGTGTGGACTTCAACTCCCAGAATGGAATTCTGGGAGTTGAAGTCCACACATCTTAAAGTTGCTGAGGTTGAGAAACCCTGCCTTAGAGACAGGAGGGACATCTTCAGTGTGTGTGTCAACAAGAACCCCAATTGCATGATCAAAGCCGCACCCCTTTTTACCTGCCCTGTAGATACCCCTGATTAGAAGACTAACCAGGTGCCACCGGTTGCTGCCAAGGTTCTCAGAACTGCAGACTTGCCTCACCCTGGCTTATTCATCTTTTCGCTGAAAGAAATTGTATAAACTGCATTGCGCAACCCTTGGTTTGTTCTAACTGTGGTTAGATCTTGCTGTTGCTGCCGTTTAGAGTTTGTGTGTGGTGTGAACCCAGCCAGCATGATAAGTTTATAGTTCAATGAGTCACACCATTCCAGAAAATGGAGATAGTTGCACCAACCAAGGTTATGTTAACCATGGGAAAGTTCCTGGTTCAACCATATCCTTCCAATCTTCCCTTGGCCACTGATTACCGGTGTCTGCCCACCTTTTACCCAAGTACACCATTGTTGTAAGGCTTACATGATTGATTGACTGATTATGTGCCATCAAGTCATTTTTGACTCCTAGCAACCATATAGATAGATTACGTGGCTTACGTGGCTGATGATCAACAGGGGTAGTGAAAATTAGTGGGATAGATCTTTTGACAAGAACACTCAAAAACTTTGTCATACATGAGCTGGAACGTGTAACGTGATGAAACTTTAGGTTCAGATTCCACCCCTCCTCGGGGTTTTTCATCCCTTTGTTATTTATTTATTTACAGGACTTCTATGGCCGCCCATCTCATACAACGACTCTAGGCAGTTCACAACAATCCATAAAACATAGTTAAAAACAAAAGGACCCTTCCCCAGGTGCCAGACCAAACATCCTTGCAGCTCAACCCCCATCTTAGCCCAGTGTTTAGGGGAAGAGCCGGGTCTTCGCAGCCTTCCAGAAGGCTAAAAGGGTAGGGGTCCCTCTGGTCTCTGGTGGGAGGCTCTTCCAAAGGACTGGGGCGGCCACTGAGAAGGCACGCCTCCGAGGTCCCATCAGATGGCAACATTTAAGGGAGGGGACCTGGAGTGCACCCACCCACTCTGGGTTGGCCAGAGTGCTTCTTCCTAGCTCTGAAGGTTGTTCCATGAACTCCTGGGCCACCTCTGACTCTGGGACCAGAGAAGGCAGGTTGAAGTCCCCCAGAACCATAAGCCTGGGGAACTCCACTGCCAACTCCACCATGGAGTCCAGGAGCTCGGGCAGGGCCGCTGCCACCCTGCAGGGAGGACAGTAGGCAAGCAGCAAGCCCGTCTGATCCCTGCGACCCAACTTCGCAACAACAGCCTCACACCTGGCTACGTCTGGGGCAGCGCCCCCCCAAGGCCACTAGAGACTCCCAAACAACCATAGCCACCCCGCCACCCCTCTCCCCAACAGACGCCACCCAGATGCTCCAAGGCGGGTCTCCCTGGCAGAGCGGTTGCCTTCTTGATTGGAAAACGATAACTGTGCACCGAGTCATCACTTCTTTCCCTCTCCTCGGCCAAAACGGGAACATCTTCTGCTCCCGATAGGAAACAGTCTTGCACCAGTTGGTTTTTGCACTTAAGCACTGTAGTTGAGCACTTGGTGAGGTGCGGGTGCTGATTCTCTAGGGCAGGCCCAGCTGTTACTCAGCATTAACCACCCTTGGTTTATCACAAGGCAAGACCACTGTTGGAACATGGCGAGGAGGGTGAGCATTTTAGACAGAGAGAGGGCTGGGAAAAAAGAGGAAAACAGACAGATGATATAAGGAAGCACAACTTCCTCCCAAAAAATACATTACTCTTTCCCAAAAAACTGCCAGCCACTTCAGCTCGAAATGGTCAACTTTGGCCTCCCAAACAAAGCCTTTCCCCCCCTGTCTTTTTCCAAGAAGGAAATGACCTATTTGGTAGCATGAGTTTAACCCTTACTGCCAATGGTAGTACAGAACAGCCTCTATCCCCTCCCTCCCATAAGATTTAATGAACTTAAATGTGGGAGAAAGTGAAATAAGGAGATCCACCTGTCCAGACAAGTGACTTGGAGATCTACGTGGCTTTGATTCCTGATGAAGTCATCTAGTTGAAGGCAGAAACATTCCCCCATTCAACCTCCCCCAACACTTACTATTATTCAGTGTAACTAAAGAGAATTTGCTCTAGAACAGTGTTTTTCAATGTGGACAACTTTAAGGCATGTGGACTTCAACAGGCATCCTGACTGGGGAATTCTGGGAGTTGAAGTTCACACGCCTTAAAGTTGCCAACATTGGAAAACACTGCTTTAGAGATTTAGAAGAGAATTCTGGTGAACCTTGGAAAGAACAGAAAATTCAAGCAATTGGTAGGGATGTCCACAAGTAAGGTCAAAAGAGCCAACCCAGGAGCTACAGCTATGCAGTGGAAGCTACGACACATATAAAAAAAGGAGCAAGGCTTCAACTGCACGGTTGCAGCCACCGTCTTGACTTTTTTGACCCTCCCTGCCTGCAGAAGCTTCAGAAGGAGGGAAAGAAGTATTGCAGGAAACCCCATCCTCAGCAAATAGCATCCTTTGCTACCGCCAACAGTGAAGGAAGTTCAACACCGCCGAGAGAAATTGGAAAGAAGTTCTCCAGCGTCCTGAGAATAAAGTAGAAAACCAGAAGCCTGTTGTGAAGGGAAGGAAGCGGTCAGGCAGAGTTTGGCTCCATGTGTGGGCTAGAAGGTCCCTGGGGTCCTACGGGGAATGGGGTCCCAAGCGAAGAGCATTCTCTTTGTGGTGTTTTGCAGCGCTGTGCTCTGGAGTGCCAAGAGTCCCTGCTGTCCAGTGTCGAGTGGCTGAAATGCAAGAGAGTCCTCTTGGTTTTAACCTCCTTTTCGATGGAGGAGGAGCCCGGCAGATCCTTCCAGGTGGGTGAAGAGGCCAGGATGGGCATGCCAGCCTCTGGGAACACTGTGAAATGGCACAGCGGCTTGGTGAAGCACCTGGCTGAACCCAAGTTCTCTTCTCTTCTCCAACAGAATGTCCTCGCCAAGGGGGACGTCAGCAAGATGCACGGGGGCTTCCTCCAGAAGGTTGGGGAGAGGGCGGACTCGGAGCCGGAGGCCGAAGGGGACGACTCCGAGGCGCTGGATCTCGGGGGTCTGGTCTCCCACGGAGAGGAGCCGGATCTGGGCTCCGTCAAGGCGGAGTGGAAGCGCTACGGGGGCTTCCTTCGCAAGTACCCCAAGCGAGGCTCTGCTGCGGGGGGTGCTGAGGAGGACGGGGGCGCCCTGGAGGACCTGCACAAACGCTACGGCGGCTTCATGCGCAGGATCCGTCCCAAGCTCAAATGGGACAAGCAGAAGCGCTACGGGGGCTTCCTGCGCCGCCAGTTCAAGGTGACCACGCGGTCCAAGGAAGAGCCCAAGGCCGCCTCAGGGGAGGTCGCTGACCTATAGAGGCCCATGCGGGGGGAGACGAGGCAATCCCGGCTCCGGCCTTCCCCCGACATTGGGGATTGTGGGGATGGCCTCGCCCCCAGCCCCCTAGCTTCCCCCTTCCCCGTGCCACCCAAGCAATGCAGAGAGCGCCTGCCAATCTGACCAGGAAGGAAAGGGGGGGACGGCTGGGGGTGGGAAAGCCAGCACGGGCGGCTTAAGATTCAGAGGCGCTTCGTGTGTTTGGAGCGCTGCATTACCCCGCAGCACCTGTTGGACTGCGGGCTGCGTTTGTACAATAGGCTAAGCTTGATTCGTTTTAATCTTTGCTAGGAATATTTTTGGAGGCGGGAGGCTTAATTTATCGGCATTCCAAAGACATTGTCTGTAAAGATTCCTCTCTCTCTTCTTTCGGCCGAATGAGGCCAAAAGATTAACAATAACCTCTACTAATATTAATAGTCATCGGGGGTGTGTGTGTCAAAGAAGTCAAGATGGCCCCCCAGTGGCCTAGGAAAGCCCCTCCCCTTGTTATGCGTGCCACACATCTGAGAAAGGAGTGGAACTTTGCTCGCACAGCGCCAGAAGCCATTGTGATTTTTTTGACCCTCCTGGGGAGGCCCTGCCGTAAAGTCTCTGCTCTGCTGCAAACCCAGGTTTGTTGTACAGAATCTCTGGTGCTGTCCTTATTCACAGACGGTGGCCAAGGTCTGTTGGCTTGACCAAATGACCAGCCGGGGCGGGGGGGAGACAAAAAAGAGCTTGTGTGAAAGCCCATGAAATGAAGTTTTGTATCCTGAAGCATAAAGCTCTTTTACGCGCTCTTCCTGCCATCAGAGCTAAAACAGCGGACAAGTTATTGGTTCGTAGTTTGCACCAACCAACGGTTCTTGCACACCTTAAAAAGTACTAAACCAATCATGGCTTGCAGTTTTGTGCACCACAAACCATGATCTGCTGCATGAAGGAATACTCTCATTTTTGCTCTGTGGCTCTGACCCTAGTCCTCTGAGCCACACGCCCACCCTTGATTGACAAACCATCATAGTTAAGTCCAAAGCAAACAAACCCCATTATTTCATGGTGGTTGGGTGAACGGGGGTATCTTATCAGGGCCTGGTGTGACTCGTGCCTTTGGCTTCTCACGGTATATGGACACAGCCATTGCGGTTTCGTTAATCTGGTGTCTGGTAGGGGGAATAGGAGCTTTATCCACAGACCAGCATGCAGTCAGATAAATAGGTGGATAGACAGATGCAGTTACATCCAAGCAAACGCATGCGTGTTGGTGTAGCTACACGCATGCACAGACATAGATAATGCACACAAGGGCGCGTGTAAATTGATTTGTTGGTCTGAGATAGCGAGGAATAAAGTGGGAAGGAAGTGAAATGTACAGATTATGCAAAACCTTCAGCGTGTATGAAAATACAGAGCAGTTGTTAGAGTTATCTCTAACCTCAGCATTGATCGTAATATGGGTTAATAAGAGTACCAGTCGAAGGGGGTTTGTGTTACGCAAACCACTTAACAATGGCCAGCTTTTCTGATTTTCATATTTTATTTCCCTTTGATCTCACTGTCCCTGAATTCCCCTCCACCCCACCTCACCCCAAAGCAATCAAGATTTGGGGAAAATCTACCTCCCAACTTCCTGAACCCCAGACCTCTCCAGAGGCATCGGGAAGATGAGTTTGATACCTACCTTCCTGAATGATCAATAATCGAGGGCATTCTTGGGATAGGGGGTCAAAAAAGTCAAGATGGTGCCTGTGGTGGTGGTGCGATTGAAGCCCCACCCCCTTTTTATCCCCTCCCAGCTGATAAAATCATGGCAGCCACAGCAGGAAGATTAGCATTAGAACAACTAAGCTTTTCCAAATCTACCACCTTTTGGTTGAATTGGTAAGAGATGCAGACAGAGGGGTGGTCAGGAAAGTCAAGATGGTGGCCGGGATGGTGTGATAGAAACTCTGCCCATTTTTTATCTGCATTGCACCGTCATGGCCACCATCTTGACTTTAATGGCCACACCCTTTGGACACCCCGGATGTTGAAAAAGAGAGGTGTGTTCCCATAATGGACATTGACATGGAAGTGAGTCCCCTCTGTCTTCCTAGATCTTGCGGTCTGCAAATCCTTGCTTATAGTTTAGTGTGTGTGTGTGTGTGTTTAATCCAACCAGGAACATCTGCAAAGAGGGAGGAGGTGGGGGGTCCTAAAATTCAAGATGATGGCCTAGCTGCCAACCTTTTAAACCCCCCTCCCATGGATCCAGACAATTTGATTTACATATGCATGAAACCATGATTAAATAAAACATACCTTAGTGCAATATGTGAACAATATTAAAGTTTATTTCCTTGCGCATCCCTCTCTTGTTGGATTAGGGCAATGTTTCTCCACCTTGGCATCTTAAAGATGTGTGGACTTCAACTCCCAGAATTCCCCAGCCAGCCATGT